TCTAAAACTCTGCTTAGAAAAATGATCATATTTAACCGAGAAATAAAGAGAATATGAAAGATAAGCGAATTTTTTTTTTTACCGATAATCATTAGGGAATGGTTCCAAAGACCTTTGCAAAAAAAAGGACCTAATGAAAGAATTTAGACAATTCATAGAGTGATGTTTAAGATTTGCGTATAGTTTTTTTTCCACTCATACTGAAGTAATAAGCTTTTCTTTTAATGCCATATCCCTTCGAGAAGTAGGTAATCACGACTCTCCACAGCTTCCTTGTTCTTTATTAACTATCCATTGCCATGCCTTTTCGAGAAATACGGCGTGTTGTTTCTCATTGCCTTCTCCACGGCTCTGAATCCAGAGTTTCTTTCTATTAGTCGGTGTTGTGGTAAACCCTCCTGCAGTAGAATGAACTCTTCCTCCTCTCATAAATACTTGAAGGGTCGGTTGGGAGCCGAGACGCAGTGTTAACCTACCGTTCGAACGTACAACGCTACCTGTTTATTACTAACACTCTTTCATTTTTATGTTTTTTTTTATTTGTTTATTTATTATTATTATTATTATTATTATTATTATAATTGTTCAGCCTACCTTCGTCTTCCATGTCTTTCTTTCTGGCCGCTAAACAGACCACAACAGTCGGGTAGCTAAATGAGGCTAGAGAACTTAGTTTACGTTGATATTTAATCCATAGTCGGGTGGATTCATACTTTCCCCAAGGACGTTTGTACTAAACTGAACGCAACAAGCGAGGTTGGGATTTGAACTTGGTGCGCTGGTTCCACTTTACGCGCTGATAACCGTGTAGCTACATCAGAAACATATAAAGAAAGAAAGAGCATTCCTATTAAGAGGATCCTTAAGGCGAAAACAAGACGGAATATAATAAATGCAACCTGGCCTAATATGAAATTATCAATCGCAAATGAATGCGGCAAACCGGCCCAGAAGCAGTACAAAAATAAATATACTTGGTTAGGAATCGTCGTCCACTAGGAATAGTGCAAGTGAGCGATATTTGATTATACATTCTAATATATAAAGACAAACCCGAATCTGTCATAGACAATTGAGAAACAAAATTTTAGCGAATGCCAAAATTTAAGCATATCGTCCATCTTTGTAAACCGTGAAAATAAATTCTGTCTCGTCATGGATCACGCTGTTGCAACTGACGACAGAATAAAATCGAAATTCAAACACTGGATAAATATCAAGACCATTGCAAATACTCCGGTTGCCAGCACACATGTGTTCTGGGAAGTTGCCATGTCAAACAACTAAAATTAAAATGCAAAAATACTAGTAAAAATTTAATACTTCATCTAATAAAATTTAAATAAAAATAAGTAATATATATATATATGTATGTATGTATGTAGGTCTTGTAGACTCCCCTGTGTAAGTATAGGGTTACAATCACGGTATACATTGCTACTGTTGCTTGTAGTAAGTAGGTTTTTACAGGATTGGAGTTGCTAGCCCCACTCCCGACCAGTTTTGAATTCAGAGTTTTAAAAAAATGTATTTTACTAGCTACATTTTGTTTGGTAGTCCCCACCCTTGATATATAGCATATTGACTATATAGAGATAAACGATTTTGATTGGTAACTTAAATTTTGACTAGTACTCGGGTTACTTAATTTTGGCACTAAAATTAGTATTCATGTTACTTAAATGGTCTCTTAAACATTTTTTATGTTTGGGTCTAATAACAAATAGTATAAAAAGACATTTCAATAGAACTAAACTAGTAGAATTCTGGAATACGGTATAAAATAACGTATTTAGTAAATCTTTTTGTTTCATGTTACATTTTGTTTTAGTTGTTTAACACTTCCGCTGCTGTAGATGTACTTATACGTCTATTCATACCTTACAAAACTGCTGTCGAGGCATATATACGTTTCCAAGACATCATGAAATGTCAGTCCCTAGCATTTGGATTATAAACTGGCTAGCGCTTAGTGCTATTTCCACACCATCCTAGACGCTGTAGTGTACAATACAACCTGCTTTGTGTCGTATTTCTTATTATATTGTGTTGGCGATGTCGGTGCTACAGAGAATCCGATTGAAGCCAAAATGGTGGCTCCAATGTGAAATCGCCGACAGCGTCTTTATAGTCATTTATTCCTAACAAATGGTTATTTCCTATTTTCGCAAAGTGGGCCAGCACATCCAGGCAACAATGCTACAATACTGCAACACTGAAAGTGATAAGCCACACTGACATCAGTGGTTTGGTTTGTTTAACGGCATATCAACTCCTTATGGGTCATTTAATGCCGAAATTTAATTTTCTTGTGAACTTTGGTAATCTGTTTCCAATAATGTATTGCTGCTAATTTTCTTTTTACCGTGAAAATTTATTGCTGGTATTTTTACTACAAAAATGCATATTCATACTTTCATAATGTTTTGGCTCCAGTTTGGGGGTCCACTATTTGCCCTTACGTGGGACTCTAACAAGGGTTGCCATCCCGGGCCACGGTGGACCTAAGAACAACAGTAATTAACAGATAGTTCTTCGTGCCTCAAACCGGCCAATCAAAGGCCTCGCTACCGAATGTAGTTTATCGTCACACTAAGGACGGACATCAGTGAGTGGATTTACTTCAGATTAATCATATTTGGGCATAGTTTGAACATCACCAATCAGAAATCTGGTTCAATCAATAATCCGGTTCAAGCAATAATCTGAATCTCATTTCGATGATAGCAATTTCAGGTTTTCCAGGTTGCCACATGATTCTTCCATGACTACTTGGTGGCGCCATCATTTACAGTAGCTGTTTTTTACACTTCCAAACGGTTATAAAACATTTCTACTTGTTATGCATTTTTATGATAAACTGTAAAAGTTTCGCCCCGGTCATGGCTTCAATGGACACAGATAATTATTTTGTATGAAATTGTAGCATAAAAATGATTTCCTAAGCGTAGCTTAGATGTGGAACACGGCCAAGACTATGGAGCACCCGGTGAGAATCGAAATCACTATTCAGTCATAACCGTTTTAGCGAGAAAAGCTTGCTAACCATTACACCACGCCGAGATGCCCAAGTGATTTTTCCAAAAGTAGCTCAGTTGTGGCATAAGGCTGAAAGTATGGGGCACACAGTGAGGATCGAACTCACTACTCTGTCGTAATTGTTCTAGCGAGACAAGCTTGCTAACCATTACACCAACTCTAGGTGCCCAATGGCTTCAATGAAGACACGTAGTGCTTCTCGTGTTGCGATGAGTAAACTTCGTATATTGTCCATAGCAAATACGGTAGTACTTCTGGTTAACTTTCTTATGCAAGTCCACAGAATTACCTGCAATCTTTATTTTAACTGTCCTTCATTACATTCCCACCTAATTGTCATTTGATTTTTCATTTTCCTTTATTAGCCAATATGTATATATTTACACGGTATTCAAAATTATGTGTTTAGCTGTATTCTAACATAACAATCAATAACCCGGTACGAGTGATGCTGTATTAATGAGGGAAAACATGGGCCGTTACCTGTAAAAAATAAATCATATATATAGATTTATTAACCTTTATATTTCATCAGGTAACTTTGCAAAATAGTAAGGGAAACCGTAAGGAACAAGATAATGACATCAGATATGATTTCAGTCAGTTAGTTATGTGCCATCTGTGATACACGCTTAGGCGATCATATATACATGATACATGACTGACGAGGCAGATTTTTCCCGCAGTAGTTTGCCATTTTGCTGTAGACCAAGGCTATAGAACCCGGTCTGTCCTGCTATTTACCCATGGCCGGGGAGAGAAAAAGAGAATTCATACTTTTCCAAAGGCTATTAGCACGTAAGTGATTGTAATAGATTCGACTGCAATTCGAACTCGGCTCGCCGATTCCTCAATCTGAACCGCTATCCATTACTCTACCTCCTTGATATGATTTATGAGCTCAAATTACAAATTCCTATTTATTTGCGGTGTCCCTTCAGGACGTAGGATATCATGACTCTCCACAACTTCCTGTTCCTTGTAGTTCTTCCTGTCAACTTCTTTGTTGTTCTTAATAAACCTTGTCTTTTTGTTCTTTCTCCTAAACCCTGTTCCGCCATTCGTTTATTCAAGCTCACTATGTTATGCATTGTTTTCCTCTGTCCCTCTTGCCCTCTATCTGTCCTGTGAGTATCAGATTTTCTAAGCCCTCCTTCCTCATTATAAGCCCCATAAAGTTTAACTGTCTCTTCCTGGTGTTAAGTATAAGTTTCCTTTTTGTTTCCATTTTCTCCATAACTTCGTTGTTGTTCACATGTTCGGTCCATGGTATCCTCAGCATCCTTCTGTAGAACCAGGTTTCTGTGGCTTCAAGTCTCCTCTTCATCTGGGAACAATGAACGTGATATTTATGCCCAGAATGCTATCAGAATAAGCAATACACATGCAGAAGCACGTGTACCTGTGTTTTATAGATTATGCGTTCGATAAAGTAGGTCAAATGATATTGGAACTGCTTGCTATATTTGGCAAAGGTACGAGCTTATTTCCTACAAAAGACATCCAGAAAATATAGCGAAAGTAGATATTACGGTAGGGATTTTGAAAACGTATATTCTTCATAATATAATGAAATATATACTTTATCGGGCTAGTCTGGTGCCGATAAAAGCTCATGATTTGTACCTGTGCCAGGTATATTTAAAGAAACCACGGATATTTTCATATCGACTTTTTATACCATTTCTCCTGGGTAATGTTTTTCTTTTGATAAAAAGGTTAAAAGATTAAGATTATTTTACAGAGTGAAAATAACTGAAAATATACAACTTGCCCATAGCAACTCACTACTGACTGTACTATTTCCATTTGAATCTTTGGAGTGAAGCAAACAAACAAAATTAAATTCTGTCTTTAAGGAAAGAGTCAGGTTACAGCCGATTTTGAATTGAGTGGGTGCCAGTGTTCTACAATTTGGAGCAAACAAGTAGGGATTTGTTGATAAGAATTTAAGAATTTATTCATCCGCCGATATAGCTAGCTAGATAGAGTGATATATAAGGAACTTTATATCGATAGATAGATAGATAGATAGATAGATAGATAGATGAGCTAGAATAATGATTGACAGATAAATAGATGAGATAGATAGATAGATAGATAGATAGATGAGCTAGAATAATGATTGACAGATAAATAGATGAGATAGATAGATAGATAGATAGATGAGCTAGAATAATGATTGACAGATAAATAGATAGATAGATAGATAGATAGATAGATGAGCTAGAATAATGATTGACAGATAAATAGATGAGATAGATAGATAGATAGATAGATGAGCTAGAATAATGATTGACAAATAGATAGATAGATAGATGAGCTAGAATAATGATTGACAGATAAATAGATAAGATGTATAGATAGATAGATAGATAGATAGATAGATAGATAGATAGATAGATAAGCTAGAATAATGATTGATAGATAGATAGATAGATAGATAGATAGATAAGATAGAATAATGATAGATAGATAGATAGATAGATAGATAGATAGATAGATAGATAGATAGATAGATAGATAGATAGATGAGTTGGAAAAATGACTGATTAATAGATACAATGATAACCTGGAGAAAAATCAAACAAAGTTCTTTAGTAAATTCAGTTTATATAAAGTCTATTCTGGATTTCGTCAGGATCTTCGTTGTTTTGGATTCTTGTAATAAATTCATTTTTTATTGCCAACGAATATCTTTCTTGTAAGAAAACTTACTTTTTTTCTATATCAATCAAAAAAAAAAAAGAAAAAAAGAAAAATAAGACATAACTGTAACCCTAACAGGTGCTACCAGCCCTGGCCAGGGTGGACCAGGGAACAACAGCAATTAAGTAGTGCCTCCACGCTCCTCAAAACCTCCTGATCGGAGTCCTTGCTGCCGGATGTAGTTTATCGTCATACCTAGAACGTATGTCCTTCCTGGGTATGACAATAAACTACATCCGCGTCCTGGGTAAGACGATAAACTACGTCCAACAGGAGGTTTTGAGGAGTGTGGAACCACCTCTTAATTGCTGGTGTTCCCAGGTTCACCCTGACCCAAGGTCATAGCACCTGTTAGAGTCCCAGCTATGAGCAAATAGTTAACACCCAAACTTGTGTAAAAATATGTTTTAATACCAGAAATACTTTGTAATAAAAAAAAATTATTACCAGCAATAATTTTTGAAGGAAAGATCAACAATACTTAAAAAAAAAAAAATACCACTAATACAAACAGCTATACATTCTTTGGAAAAATATGACCAGCTATAAATTTCTTCAAGGGAAAATATTCCCAGAAATAGATTTTTGAAGAAAAACTTTACCAGCAATAAAAATTTTGTCGGCATTAAATAACCAATTGAGGTTGATATGCTGTAAAACAAAACAAACCAAACCAGGAATCATGTACTTAGTCATCTCGGTTTAGCAAGTAAGCAAAAACAAAACAAAAAATAGAAAATTGAATTAACTACAGCACAACTAAAAACATACGGGGATTTATTATCGACAGAACTTAGAAAGAAAGTTGAAAGAACTCTTATATAAGCTAGTAATGAAAAGTAAAAAGTGATGAAGATTAACCCTAAGAAGTCAGAATACATAGCCATCAACAACAAAAAACAGGTGTGAGGTACATATCGGAGATGTCAAAATCAAGTTTAGTAATAGATGCAGAAATTCTAAGTCGTATGGGAATAGCAAAAATTACCATCTAAAAATTAAGAAACGTACTAAGATATAGGAAAAATATATTTAGAAACAAAGAAAAGAGTGTTGAATCCAATATCTGATCTCCGGCAGTGAAGGCTGGAAGGTTTCCTCACAGGGGAAGCGCTTTGAAGCGACAGAGATATGATTTTACTGACAAACTTTAAGAATACCATGGACGGAGCATGTGAGCAACGAGCAAGTTTTAAGGAAAACTGGAACAAAAATTTATAGTCAGAAAGAGAGAGATTAAATTTCTGGGACACATATTATTGAAAGAGAAACTAGATATTTAAAAATCTAAGGACATATTGAAGCCAAGAAAAGCAGACGAAGCAGCAATCAACCTACTTAAGGAGTTTATATGTATGGATGACAGAAGAAGGACAAAGGGGAATGGTGAAGAGACGAAGAGTTAAAAAAATTACTCAGAACAAAAAAGAAAGGAAAGCGTGAGAGCCATTATCATCTTCGTCATGGAAGAGCTTGAAACATAAAAGTCATAAAATTAACTTAAGTTCCACAATTGAGGATCGAATATTTGTTTTTCTTAGAACCTTTTTTACTTTTAAGTCAAACATGCTTAGTCCTGGGTATGACGATAAACTACATCAGGCAGCAAGACCTCTGTTTAGGAGATTGGAAGTTTTTAGGAGCGTGGAACCACTTCTTAATTGCTATTGTTCCTAGGGTCACGCTGACCCGTAGTGGTAGCACCTGTAAGAATCCCATCTATGGGCAAATAGTGGACCCCCAAACAAAAACAAAACGCTAAGAAAGTATAAAAATACAAGCAATATATTTTTATATAAAAAAAAACTTACCAGCAATACATATTTATAGTAAAATGACCAACAATACATTTTAACTGTAGTTGAAGGCATGCAATTGCATTCAAAATATATTTAGTTGAAGCTAAATATTCAAAATATTTAAATTTTGGCATTAAATAACCCATGTTATGCTGCTAAGCAAAACCAATAAACAAAACCATCATGCTAGCCATAAAAGTACAGTATACGTCCTTGTGCGATTGACTTTTTGGTGTCATGACTTCGCGTGGCTATTGTGATATGAGATTACGCTTAAATGTACATTGGAGATTACAATGGAACGAAAGTTATACACACTCACCACATGTGCAACAGATGGGATTGCACAACACAAATGGAACAAATAAATTACACCGAGGTTAAAAATATTAACTTAGGAATGCACGAACAAGTAGCCAAACAAATTAAAAAGATAAAGTGTAACTGAGATCGATTGGAAGAGTTTCATGTTACGTACCGATAAGGATAACTTTGTGACTAATTAGCGACATCAGTGAATAATATAATGATCTCCATTCCCTGAACTCTGTAGTGGCTGCGAACGTCTCTTCCGATTGAACACCACACATAACGAAATGTCGATGTGAACTCCAATACTCGGAAACGAGTTTCGTCAACGACTATTCATGATTTGGGCGATCATGGTTTTCCACAACTTCCTATCCTTTGTAGCTCTAAGTAATGTTTGTCGCCTTACTATTCTTCTGAATCTATATTCTTCCAGCTATTTACATAACCTGTTTGCTATGTCTGTTTCTGTTTGTCACCTCTTGCCTTCCATATGTTCTGTGAACGTCAAGTTTTCTAGCTCTTCCTTATTACGTGTCTCAGAAATTTCAACCTTCTGTTTCTGATCTTAAGTGTAAGTGTTCCTTTCGTTCGTATTTCGCTCAAAACTTCCAGCATAATGTGAGGGAAAACAGAGAATTGTGTTTGAAATTTCCTCAGTTCTTTGTGTGCGCATACCATGTTTTAAATGCTATAGGAAAGGATTTTTACTTAAGGTGAAAGTAATGGATATAAAACTGAATGCTCTTTCGTTTTCAGTTTTTAACTCTTTGGAACATTACAGGTTACATTCCATCAACGCTTTGAAGTGCTTGTGCCTGCTTAGTCTGTTATTTTTAATGTCACTGATTTAACCCCCCCTCTTCCCATATGTCTAGCAGCACATATAGTTTTATATTCAGACCCATTACTTTGTTTATCTGATCAACAGATGGCGGTGTAAAATAGTTAAAAGTAAAAGAAGATGAAAAGAAATCTTCCTCGAAGAATAAAATTGTAGCAGAAACAGGACGTTGTTGAATCTCTGAATCTAATGGTGCCAGCGTGGTTTCAGAATTGTGTGTAGCGTTTTCAAAAGCAGAATTTCGACTTGAGAACAACTAACGCTCAGTTCAAACTTTCGAAAATTAAAGAACTGAAGAAATATTTGAAACAAGCAGCATGGCCCGGCGTTGCCCGTGCTTGATTCAAAAATAGTACAACTAATACAGCAATCGCTATCACTTGACTTAAAATATTTTTGCCCTTCCTTGCCTTTAGATGAGTGCCCTTTGCCGTGCTGATGTTGTTACATGCCTTACTTCTTGCCTATATCACACTGCCAACTTTTTCTAAGCTCTATAGTAAACATTAAATCTGTTACGAAAAAAAAACTAAACAAAATAAACAATACGATCAGCTTTAAAAAACCGGAAAAACATTTTTAAGGGTTGACCGATTGTCGATTTGCATTCTGTTTGTGGGAGGGGGTGCTCAGAGTTGAAACTTCACATGATGACTCCCAATGGCCTCTTCATAAATCCGCTCGGTTTTCGCTAAAAACCGACATGCAGTTCAGACGCAATCTGGGCGTATCGGTTTTTGGGTTTTATCGATTTTCTACGCTGTTTAGGGGTCCGTGGTCATGAAAATTCTGGACAATACTTCTAATGGTAGATTCTAAGAGGGTGTCAAATTTGGTTGAAATGCGAACATTCCTTCTGTAAGCAGAATTTTTTCGATTATCGATTTTTTCGGAACCTGATTCCGAACTCAAAAATCGGGCTCCGCCATGTCCTTACGGCAGTCATTTGCAAACTTGTGTTGAAAACCGCATCGAAATCGGGTGAGAAATGCGGCCTGGGCGAGGTAACAACGCCCACGACAGACACACAGATAGACAACATGAGAAATATATTTGAAATGAGCATTCAGCACAAATGTAGGAATTTACAGAAAAACGGGAGTTGACTGAGTTAATTCATTTAAATGGCATATTTCAAGATAAAATACTTTGGTTGTGGCCGGGCAAACAAGTCAAATGGTGATTTTTTTTCTTCATAAAATTCTTCTTGGTCGAACAGATAACTTTTTACGTCCTCACGTATCTTTCATGTTGATTTGTTGGATTTTGAATTACAAAACCTTGCAAAAATAGCATTTTC